TGAGCACTGAGCTCGAGTCTTGCAGACGGGTCTCCGATTAGCAGCAGATATCGATCGAGGGGGTCTCTAATGTTCGGGCAAGTGCTGCCTGTTAACCGATCTGTAGCAATATGTGAACATCGAGGCATGCCAATCTGAAGGAGGATCGAGGGCTACAAATAAAAGTCGATGAACTGGGGTGGACCGCTTGGTTGGAAATGGGCTTGTCGATAAGGCTGGAGTGACGCTACGTGTTTGCATGTGAGTTAAAACTAGAATGTAAGCGCCTACCAAAGCGAGATGGGAGAGGGCCAAGAATTAGGGGGTTGAAAACAGGGTGGATAAAAGTGAAGTTGGAAAGGGATGATAAGGGTGGCGAGGCGTAAGTGGAGGAATAAGTTGATGGGAAGGCTTGAGCAGTAGCATCCAAACCCTTATCCACCCTGCTGGAAGCAGCAAATACGGCGCCATTGTGTATTCTTTGCGGTGGCCAGAGCATCACGAAATTGTTTGAGGAAAGTTCCACAGTATTGCGTGGACAGGTTACTGTCAGACTGCTCAGGCCTAGACAGGAGAACGATTAGGGTTCTCAACCAAAGCCTTTGGTTCAAAAACCTGACTGCAAGACAGCGGGTTTGGCGGTGGGCTACAAGGAGTCCGTTTCAAGGAATAAGGAGCCACCCTCATTCCAACCCCTGACCTGCAGGACCAGGAGGCTGAGTTTGTCTGGTCTCTAACTACTGGCCAATCTGGTGCGAGTGACTATGAAGGTGCGATATGCTCCGCGTCTCATAACTTACTTGATCACAGAGGCATGCAAACCATCGCACCACGGTAAGATCCAGCCTCATTACCATGGGGTCCAGTCTTGTTGCGGTGGGGTACAGCCTCGTTGCGATGGTGGCTCATTGTGATGGAACCTCATTGCGATGGGCTATCCGTAGTACATAAACTACGGGATTTTACACCACCATTGTGAAATTCTGGTAGAGAACAGCGTAGATGATCACAAGGTTGTCACAGGGTTTGCGTTCAAGATAATTAATGAAAGGGTGTTTCACGTAAGACAAACACTGAGCTGTCTAGTATGATGCTACAAAGCTGGGCAGACTGAAGTTAATATCTTTAGTCTCTTATATTACTATTTTACTCTTTCTAAGTCCTTCATTTTAAAGCTGCCCTCAAGATCGCAACACCTGTGAGACGTTATAACTTTGGTACGACTACTGAGTGGCATGGACTAGATATTTCTTGAGCATTCTTTTAACAGCCTAACTTTGACATAGCTTTCCACATTTAGACAGAAAGAAATTGATTGGAAACCACGTTTATCACCAAAACTTATAACAATTATTGCGATCAACTGATTCCTATCCTCCATTAGCGTTAGTAAACACCTGTTCATCACTTGCTATAAGGAGCATTTGCGGTACGTGCGGAGCGTGAGGTGCTGGTCGATATCCTGGTTCTCGGAAATAACTTGACTGACTGGTACATTTAATATCCGCTACGTTAGAAAAATAGGCAAAATAACAACCATTCAACCCGCCTGTAAACACTCCTAATCAGTTAATTATTATGACCTGAACTAATCTCATTTAGTTGTATAGAATAGCAGAGTGTGGATAGGACGGGTAGTATTGGTATAGCGAGATCACAAATCAATCGGGTGTTTGATAATGGTTAAACTATATAGTTCACTGGGATATGACTCGCCGATAGTCGGTTGGACGATGGTATTGTGCTTTTATCTGGGCAAAGGCTGGTATCGAAGGATATATGCACCATTTGTGTTAGACTTCCGTATACAGCACAGATGACAGGAGCAACATTTTGAGTCCACGAGACATGTGATCATCTTAGAAAGTCATTGTGAGTAGATAGTGTCAGGAACTTTACCCAGTATGCGTAAGTAATCTGTATGTACGGTCAAAGTTGTGCGAAATTGTCCGTTGCTTGATGTCGTCTAAGAAAGTGGAGCCCACAAGTAGGTACTCCATCTCATCACTTACCTGTCGTTTAAAGTGCAAACTACCGCAGCATTAGGTTGAGACAGTAGACATCTAACCCGGAACTATTGGAATGTTAGCGCAAACTTCTATCGCTTCGGCTACCAGGTCACGATGGCAAAGATTGCCATAGCGGCCCCGCCTTCGACACCCGATTACATGATTAAACAATATTGAAATGCGTAGCGGAGTGCAGTGATTTTGGTCGGGCAAGAACCCTATTCCACCGTTGCACCGAAAAACTGTCTATGGCAAACAGAGCAAGAAACTGTTCGCGTCCTGTCGGAATTGTGGCAGTGGCGCTATCAGTTTTTCTTCTGCGGCTGGTTCGCAGTTCAAACCATTTACTGCATGCATTACTGAAGCTTGCTTTTGTGTTGTAGTGTTAGTACTAGCGTTTAGTGGTGGTAATTTCCACTTTCATTCGACCATATGAGTGCAGAAATTGGTAGAGCGGAACATGGATGACTTGCGCTGCACAGCTCACAGTTCCATCTAAGGGAAACACAATGGAATAAGACTTGAGGTCAATAATCATTGGTTACTGGTATTTCGCGGACATAACGCAAAGCTCAGCATGTCCTGCCAGAAGACAGGCATGATCGATTCGGTGCAGACTGCTGTCTAGTAAACATGGACAAAAAAGATGTAAGACGAGGAAAACATGCATTTTAGATGTATGCAACGCAGCGATTTGCTGTAGTTCGTTCCGTTACTGAACGATTCTTTGATAGTAGAAACATCACGAAAATAGTGCACGTATAAGCAACCCCCTGAGGCCAGTGATCGAAATAGAGATGTCCGACCGGATGTCAAATTGTCAGAATTTACATCAAGTGAAGCGGGGTCTGGTATATCGATGGGAAATGAATATCAATTTTGCGCTGATGCATGTCCACTCAAGCTGATGCAGACAAACCGTAGTGACGAAGCAGCACACTTTCTCCTAGTGTCGGTGCCATTAGCAGTTGATCCCAGAAGTGGTACATTTTAGCTGTGTTGACACTTGCCCATTCGATTTGCTAGTTACCACTGGACATATCTCTTCACGATCACACTGACTCTTCACCGCTCGGGTGAGTCACTAATGATGCTAAGTACTGCAGAATCATATGGAGGATGAGTTGCTAGCCTCTCATGTCTGCATGCCAGGTACTTCTGTCTCTGATACAACATTCTCTTGTCTAACAACTCGGTGGCGCTCTCGATATAGCCTCGGCATTGTCGACGTTCCAACACCACTTTCCCCGGCACCTAGAACCAACCCATGCTGGTTACAAATAAGCTTTGAATGGCATCAGCAGTACGCCGATACGCAGTACCGACGCCTCGATGCTGCGTCGCACGTGGGCTAAGGATATTGTGAGGGTCGTCCTGCCCCTACGCAGCCTTGAACCCGCGCCGTCAGGTTACAAGACAAGCTCGTTACCATTAGGCTAAGGGCCGGGCATAAGCATTGCAAATGTCCTGAGAACGGCGTTTGTTGGTAACTATTTCTTTTGGTTCCAGTCAACGGACTATGAAGCGTGCTTCGGTGGTAGGGGAATGTTCATTCGGCTGATATAACCAAGCCACCCCATGTTACAGCTACAGTTTAAAGTCCATTTGTTAGGCCGCCGTCACACCAACAAATGCGCGAAATTCACCGCGGCAACTGTTAACGTGAACTTTTCAGACGACGATTGCCTTAGTTGCATTATTGTGGCGACGGAGCAAAGGGAATGTTCATTTTTACTCCAGCAACTTGACCCCAGATGTCAAATGATGCTTACTTTCCACCCAGTTTTCCAGTTTACGGAAGGTAGTACTCATTTTTCCTCCACGGATGCGTGTGTCTCACAGGCTATCCACGGGTTTATTGGCATCGAGATTTCGAGATAACAGAAAAGCGGATTGTTTTTCGTCATGTCCTTCTCACCAAATGTTTCGTGAAGACGAAAAATAGCATGATGCATACACAGTGTCGATGGGGATTCGGAATTCATGGCCATCGAACCGAGTGAAGTCATTATGACTAACAACTCATCCAATGCATTTACTTCACGAGTAGTTACCTACCAACGGCAGCGACTAAGTCGTTCTGTAATGCGCTTCCTGCCTCCATTCTAAGTGAGTCAGGTTCGGTGACTAACTAAGTACGGAGCAAGGGACGAACATCGTCCTCATATGCATGGAATAATTGTGCTAACGCTATTATGCACGATAATCATTTACCGCCTCCTGTGGTGCAGTTATTGTGGTTGATAAACGGAATTTAGTTGCAATTCCTCTGTTGATGCAGTAAACGGTTCACATCTCGTTCCCCCGAATCCGCGCACACAATCAGCCTGTCCGGGTGAATTATTGTGAACGTAGATTGGATCACTTGTTGTCCTACTATGATGGAAACATTCTGATATGTGCATATAAACCGCTATGTCATATCGTAGACAGTTTACCCAAAATAAACGCGTTTTGGACTTGACTCGGCTCACAAGTGATCTACTTTCTTGATCCACTGTCAAATGGACAAATCGGAGCAGACTAGTGCCGATATCCACATCGAACACATAAAACTAGGATTCGTCACCTTAACATGTTGTTTCTGCATATAAACCACGCCCGAAGCCGCGTGTCTGAGCAGCCAATCATCTCAAGGTGGTTAATCAATAGCATGAATTACAGGCCAATCATGCCAATTCACTACACGTGGGTGGTGTACGCAACAGAAATGGACCACGCTCATTTGACATTGAAACTAGGCCTGATAAACCACATGGTAACGACGTTCCACACTCGTATGAACCACCAGGCGTATTCTTATGGTCAACAACTTACCAACGTGGAATGACATTAACACAGTTCATTATGCCATGCATCCTGGTTCCTAATGAAGTTGCAACTAACCAACGCGAGTGAAATCTGCTGACGCTGAACACGACATCGAAATTCCCCAGGATGCATTCCATGCAAGATGTTCGTCATTTAGAGCATCGAAAATCCAAGGGGCAATTGCAAAAATTACTACCGCATATGAAACAAAGTAAACCCAAGAAAGAGAGGCCAGAGTACAGATTTGGATCTAATGTTTCTCTGAACTCTAGTATCCCTGCTCGACACTTGGGTGCTCAAGTACCACAAGAGTTATCGCTGGAAAAAGTTCAATCGAAGGATGGATTTATCATTAATTATCTGCGGGTTTATTGTGAACGCGTGCGTCAAGGGGATCATTTTAAGACCATCAGGGTTCATGGTGGAAGCACAGCCCGCAAATGCTTAAAGGAGCTGGTGGATATTTACTATACGAAGATCGGCGCTCCTGAGCAGTTTCAGCTTTTTGAGGTGTTCGGTCGCATCGCACCTGTGAATGGGATAGGGGATAATAACGAAACGGTGCTGGCTTTTACTGAGGTTAAATGCAGACCCATTCCCCCGGAGGAAACTATTCACGATCTCTTTTCCAGTACAGCCCCTGGCAGCGGCCTCTCCAGGCGTATCGAGCTTCGAAGTTGTCAGCATCCTTTCGTTCAACCTTCTACCATGAGCCGATCCTCCCACACCAGCTCAAATGACATCCCCGCGACACCAACAACGCCACCACTGCGTCGGTCTGTCACTCCAGGAGGGTCCCGCATGACATTCCGTGATTCACGCCGCAAGCGAGTTCCCCGTGTCACCCACCCACCAGATGGTCCGTACTTTCTAATGTTGCGAGGCAGTCAGCCTCAAAAGGACTCTTTGATATACGATCTCAGTTCTCTAGTTCAGAAAAACAGCACAAGGTCGGAGATCACCATTGGTTCTAGGCCCAGTGCGGACATTTGCATACACTCGGCTCCTGGTGAAACGCTACCTCAAAGGGAACAAATCACTTTCGCAAAACTCGTGGGTTATGATCAGCCCCTGACGGTTGATGGCACTAACATTCTCACCGGTGCCATCTACCTCGAACCCGCGCTCAGTGAGTGGAATACTGAAGGTAAGACGCCTTTAGATATTCCCTACATTGCTGTGAATGATGAGATACTTGTTCAACCTAACAGCCCATTTTTCAAACCACGGCTACTTCGCCCAGGTGATCTGGTTTATTTCGGATCGACAAACCGCGGTTACGTATTTCTATTTAAGGATCCTAGATGGATTCCAGATCACCGCCTAGTTCTGGGTCTTCCTGCGCCGAAGGCCGGCTCAGTAGTGGAGAATCATGGTCCCCGCATCAATGGATACAGCGTGAATTTAGTTGAACAAGTTCGCTACGCAGAGAAGTCGAGCGACACAGACTCATCGAACTCTCTGCAAGCATTGGGGAAAAAGACACTTAGTGAGCTCATCCCGAGGTCTGTATACCTGCGCCAAGTGATAAGTAATCTTTTTACCCAACCTATTTCTGTCATGACCTCGCGACATGCAGCAAATGATCCCTTTGGTGCGTCTAACTGGTCACGAATAGATCCCTGGAGATCCGCCGGACTCTTTGCCCATTTAATACGTTCTACTGCTCATTTCGTCATTACTCCGAATCCAGCTGCTCCAAACACTGACATCGACCAACTGAACCCGCATGCTATTCAGGATTACGCTATCAATCGCTTGAAGGATATGCACGCTTTGCTTCTTGAATGCCATCAGACTGTGTTTGCGGTAAGTGTGACCAGTAGTTCATCATACACAGTGTCCATCCTTATTACGGTTAATGAATCGTTCTTGGCAGTTTCAGTGTGTGTGATCCAGTTATTTCATACTGTACACATTTTTACTGTTCTGTTCCACTCAAGCTTACTCTATAGGTGCAATGAAATCCCTCCTCTAAGGCACTTTATACGATGTGTCCTCATGGTTTTGACAACTCTCTAATCAGTGGACCCGGAATAAGTGGTAGGATGCTCAAGATTGCGTCTTCCACGACCATTGTCTTTAAAGCGGTTTATGACGTTTGCTTGTCAATCCGACAGGCAGTTCACCACTCCTTTTATCTAACCCCTAACATTTTACACAGTCTGATGGTCCAACACAAACTGTGTTAGATTTATGCTGAAATAATCAGTGAATGCCCTATTGCCCCTTCGTTCCATCATCGGCTTATTAGTTTCTACTGAGTTGGAGACACGAAAAATGCTTATTTTGTCAATTGAGCTTGCTTCGGATATTCGGAGGGATGCTGATTGAAGCATGAGCTGATCATCCTGCGACTTCACTGATCTTGTTCGCTTCCTAGAGATAAAAATGTTCCCATTTAGCTTTCAGCTTTCTTCAAATGAACTGAAGTAACCAGGTTACTTAGAGATTGACAACTTTACTGCAAGATCTCTCACATTTTGGTACAGTCCACCCTCCTACTGTCCTTGTAGTTTTTCGGGTTGCAACTTCAACTTTGCTTGTGCCAAGCTAACTGACTATTGAAAATCTGCGTTTAAAAAGTCGAGTAAAAAATCGAAATATCATGTAACTTACTGCTCTCCAAATTATCGACTTATCTGAGCTTGGAATGTCAAGACAGTGCTGACAGGCGGTTTAGCATACAGGGTTCCCCAGCTGACTGAATATTTACATCACATGACTACCTAATCGCCAGCAGTTCCATTCCGTTACTCTCTTACCGGTCGATCGTCAATCGATTGGTACAATTACTCGTTTTTACCAAGGCAGCTCGATCAGGTTCGCACACTGTTCGACAGTAGTACCTATTGAGTTCTAAAGGATTCAACCAGCAAGTCACGTCTTCACTTCCCCGGTACTGTTCTCATCAGAATATAGGGGAAGCGGTGAGGACGTGCTCTTTAGCTGGGATCACTTGGTATTCCGAATATTTGTCTCATTGTATACCTCGCTTGTACCAACTCGTGGTTCCAGTTGCTAGAGCCAACAAACGCTTACATCACCATTCTTGTGTTACCGAAATTACATCCATAAGCTTACTCGCTAGCGAAGGCCACAGACAAGTGTGCGAACTATAGACACATCAAGTTGCTCCTTAAGCCATTTGTCGATTACTAGCATTGACTCTGCGTTGGCTAGATGAACGCATTAGTCTTTAGTTCCAAAATAAGCATTAAGTTGATCCATTCAGTAACTGAAATTCATCTAGTTCTTCTTTCGAACAAAACATCGGCCATTATCACTGGCGTAACGAGTCATGTGTTTCCAAACGTTCACTTTGCAGGAAGCAGGTAATTAAAACTTGAGCCACAGAATATCTTGACTTCATCGCAATTAAACTCAACCACATAGTCATCACCTATTCGCGCAAGTTATGGTTCATGGCTTCAGCTGTTCGAAGAACCAGCAGTGCGCATTCCATCAACGTCAACCGAATTCAAGACTTAACTTGACTATACATACTTTAAACAAGATTACTAGGACAGAGCATAACATAACCAAATTGTGTGCCCATGGTATCAGTCCACTGATAAGCGCTACCTTTTCCTTTATACATTCACTTTATGGATTCGCCCTTTACCTAAGGAACTTAGTAGACTCTTGTTTTTTTTAACCGCGCTAAATCCAGTTTTCCATTGTTCCTATGTACTTTGTAAGCGGATAGAACTCGTGAGTGTACTCCTACCAGCTAAAAGTTAATATCAATGGATCACGAGGGATGTTCACAAACTTTAGTACTAAGTAACTAGCTGTGTTCTAAAACTCTGCATAATGACGTGCTCGTAACTGTTTTGCAGACGACAGTGTGGCCTCCGTTTAAATCCCCTCATTTTGCCTTCATCTCAGTACTGCATTCAAACCGCACAGTATTTGCTGGGCCAAGCTTTTGGTCCCCGCTCAGGGATACCATGCTTTTCAGTGCAGAGCGACTCGCGCTATAGCGAAGCTCGCTAGCTGGCCATAAAAGTCGTTGCCGACCGTAGTGCCCCGCTGATTTTAAGCATCAACTCTTAACTGAAGTGTTAGGCTTTTATTCTCTCTCGGGGAAGATTCAGCGCGCGCCGTCTCAGACCCGTCAAGCGCTGTTCCGGATGTGGATGACCCCTGATTGTGATCAAGTTAAGTTACCACGTTTAACACCCTTTAGATTTGGCATGACTGGGACCTTGCAGTGTAACTGGGCTAGCGGATAGTCAGCTCTCATAAATACATGTTGAGGTGTGAAGTGGAGGAAGTCTAGGTAAATTTGCTTTATGATCGCAAGGTGCATTTTCGATCCAAAAGTTTTCCGAAAGGGATTGAGATTGCGGCAGTCTATTCACCGGTCACCGGAAGGTTCTCATCATTGCTCAGGTCGCCAATGAGTGGCAAGCAAAACTAGGGGAAGTAACACAAGAACCAGTCTGTCTCTGAATCTTCTGTGTTTAGTGCACGTGAAATATATCCGCTGTCTACATGTACATAAGAATTCAAGAAAATGCTGGAATCCGAATCAACAAGCATCTCTTGTTCCTCCCAAATTGGTGTCAAGTGTGCGAGCCACTCTCAACCTGTCTGTGTACTAAACTCCGGCTCTAAGCATCAGAATGGTGAGTTATGGAAAAGCTGCGCAGTTAATCCGTTAAGGATAGGCAATTTGCAGGGCTATTGGCTCCATGCGATCATGTGGGAAGGCTACTACATGTGGGATGGACATAACATGGTCGAAATAGCCCTACACCGCTCGGTCTTACATTGAACTCGACGTATTGAAGTAGTGATACGAACCACAGAATCCATACTGCAGAGACGGAAGCGCTCACACGGGAGAGTCCAAAAGAGCCCAAGACTGTCCCATGGGCCTAATTGATAATCTTTTTGAAGTGTTCGACCCTCGCCTGAATGGACGCTGGATTCTAGATCAAAACCTGAAGTCGCTCGCCCCCACAGGACAGAGAGAAGACGAATCGGACGAGCAGAGCAACAGGAATGAATTAGCAAATCACACCGTTCATTATAAAGGTGAAATGGAAAGTCCGTGAATGGTGTTTAAAGCACACGTGGAAAGCTCTGGAAAGGTCAACTTACAGTAAATCAAGGAACGCCGCCCTCGCGTTAATTGGTCGCTTCTCCCAGTCGGCTCTGTTCGCTCCAATCAGGGCGGGTGAGTTTGGATCATCTGCCGCGGCGATGGGGTTCTGCCTTGTTCGCATCGCGTATTCCTTCCTAACACTTCCCTCCTTTGAGTTGTGTTGTACGATTTCAGATCGGGGTTGACTTGCATGGGTGACACGAATTTGCGTCGCCGCTTCGGTCTCTGTGCTGCTATGTTTCGGGGCGAATGTTGTGGTGGCTGTGTTGGGGCATGTTGGGGAGTCTTCACTTCACCCGCGTCGGCCAGTATGTCCAGAGGTAACTGCGCTGCTGGTACTTGTTGCAGTTGTTCGCTAGTCCCTGTCTCTAGCAGCTGATTGGCATGTCTTACCCAAATTGCCGTCCCAACCTGGATACCGTAGATTACGTTATCACGTTTGTATAGCACACGGTCCATAGCCCATCTAGGATAGTGGATGCGATAATCTCTCGCCAGCACTTGTTGGCCAACATTAAAGGGTCGCTTCCGAGCACTGTGTCGAATGTTGAATTGACGCTCCAACTGATAGTTGCGGGACAGTAACTGATCCTTCCTGGGTCTGAGGGCATCACGCGGCACACGGATTTTCCTTTGAAACAAAGTTTCAGCCAGAGACAGTGCGTTCGGTGTCTGGGTATTTGGAGTTGTGCGATACGTTATCGCCATGAGGCTGGACCTTACCGTGGTGCGATGGTTTGTGTGCCTCGGTGATCCATTGAGCTATGCTGGGTGGTGCTTTTGCACCTTCAGAGCCACTCATACCAGATTGGTCAATGGTTAGAGGCCAGACAAACTCAGCCTCCTGGCCCTCCAGGTTGGGGGTTGGAATGAGGGTGGCACCTTATTCCTTAAAACGGACTCCTTTTAGCCCAGTGTCAAACCCGCTGCCTTGCGGACAGGTTTTTGAACCAAAGGCTTTGTTTGAGAACCCTAATCGTTCTCCTGTCTATGCCTGGGCAACCTGACAGTATCCTGCCAACGCAACACAATGAATCTCACTTCAAACAAATTTCTGGTGTTCTGGCCACCGCAGAGGATAATCAACGGTGCCCTATCTGCTGCATCGAGCAGGGTGGATAGGGGTTTGAATGCTACTGCTCAAGCCTTCCCGTCTTCTTATTCCCCCTCTTACGCTTTTTCACCCTTAGCGTCCCGCTCCAGCTTCACTTTTATCCCCCCTGTTTTCAACCTCCCAATTCTCGTCACTTCCCCACCTTGCTTCAATAGTCGCTTGTCTTTTAGTTTCAACTCACATGCAAACGCGGAGCGTCATTCCTGCCCTGTCAACAGGCCCATGTCCAAGCAAGCGGCCAAGCCCATTTCATCGGCTTCCATTTGGAGCCCTCGATCCTCCTTCAGATTGGCATGCCTCAGTGTTCGCACATTGCTTCAGATCGGTTAACAGGCAGCACTTGTCCGAACATTGGAGACCCTCTCGATCGATATCTGCTGCTTATCGGAGACCCGTCTGCAAAACTCGAGCTCTGTGCTCACTCTGCGATCCCCTTCAGGTGACACTAGTAGCACTTTCTCATTGCGCCTATCCGGTGACAATGCAGCTTCGAGCACCGGCCAAGCCGGTGTTGGTATTGCCCTGAGTCCCCGGGCTGAAACTGCTCTGGTTGATTGGATTCCAATCAGTAGCCGGATGTGTGCGGTCCGATTGGCTGGCTCGTTCAAAACTTCGAATTCGCGTGGGACTAACAGGTGTCTATTCGTTATCGCTGCCTATGCACCGACAAACTGTAGCGATGACTCGGTAAAAGACGACTTCTATCGTCAACTGAACGAGCTCCTTAGCCACAGAAAAAGCTCGGACACTGTAGTGCTGGTCGGGGATCTGAACGCTCAAGTTGGCAAATTA